CCCCCCCCATGTATTCTTGCATTTGTTTTACTCGAATTACGAGATGCATTTCGAAACAAAGATCTATTTGCTGAAAACTCACCTCCTTGGTTTATGTGCTCTTACTGACATGGTGGTAGAACAGCACTTTATTTCCCAGAATACTTTCTTTAAAGTCTTTATAATGGCTGGCCAAAGATTTTGAGCATTTTGTTTGGAGCTGATATGTGATGAGGATGAGTTTCTCTGAATTGCATAATTTCGTTTCAATTCCTGTAGTTCAAAACCAATTCAACATCCTGTGAGATGGAGTCCAATTCAAATTGAAATTCATCTATTTTAATTGAATTCTGAAATTTAGAATTTTGCCCCGCCCTGCCATGTAGACAGAGATGCAACAACAGTGCAAGTCTCCACCGTGTTTTTGTTTCCATTTCTACAGGTTTCACTATGCCGCTCGAATCTGGGACGGTGTCAAAAAATCCTCCGCCCTCTCTGAATACAGCCGCTTGCTGGGCTAGAAGTGGCGTCCTCATGCTTTTCCAGAGCACCATGCCACTGAAGGACTCAGAAACGGGAGACATGGCTTTGAAAAGTTTGCAGCCTTGGAGGGGGGAAAAAAAAAACGATGGGCTGCCACTGGCTAAGGATGACATCACCCTTTGGAGCTGCTTGTCAGGTTACCTGTACTGTACCTTGTTTCCCAGGGAAATCTGCGCAGTTCAGCTGTGGGAGCTGCGCCCTGCACCGCAGGGGTGGGAAAGACTGAAAAGCAGTTGTGCGGACATGTCTACACATGATAAAACGTCCGTTATTGACCTGTGAGACAGTTTGACTGTGCTGTTGTGGTTGAACAGCCAGTGCAAGGCTTCTCTCATAAAAGCCGTTCGTAAATGTGATTTGTGAATGAAATTTCACTTAGCTCCATTGAGCTCAAATGTATTAATGTGGAAAAAAAACAACTGCAGCTGTAACAAAGTGCTGTACATAAGATTGAAGATTAAACCGAAGAAATTTGAAAGCAGTAAGAATTTTCTTTTGTCATTCAAATACAGTATTTAAATGTGCCGTTGACATTGGCATGCAGGATGCGCAGAGTTTTGTTGCTTTTGATTGCACAGTTTACATGTTGTGCGAAGTTGTGGTTGAGAGAGAGGAAGAAGTCCGATGTCTCCACTGACCAGTGTGACAGTGCTGGGATGATGAAATTATGATTTGAACTTAAACGCCATTGTGAAAACATAACGGCATTGAAGAAAATATTGTGGCTTTGAAACTGCCTACCTTTTTATTAAAATAGGTTTTTGGACTATACTTACTGAGCGTAATGCACTCACATGTCTGTAGAAAGTGGAGTCGCAGATGCATTTTTCAAACACAACTACTGTGAAAAAAGACGCTACAATGCAAAGTGTCTGGTCACTGAAAACCACATCTTTGTTTTGAGCTACTGCAGGGGTGAAAGTTGGCATGGCTTGTAGATCAAACTTTACCCGGTAGAGCAACAACACTCGCATTGTGCCATTGTGTGAGAAAATGCAAATTGAATTTGGGATTGTGGACATGTTGAGTGACTAGATCTAGTATTTCCACCAGGTGAGTTAAAAAAAAAATCCTGAATAAAAAACAAATGATTGCGTGGCAATGCATGTGGATTACAATTTTTTTTCAAGTGAAGAGGAGGATGGATGGGAGTGGTCTCAGGATAAAACACTCCTTCTGGAAGGAGCTGATCACATATGGGATAACAAACCCAATGAAAAGTCACTTGTTGGCCATCACGCACAATGCATCACCGACTGCTCCTCCTTGGGATTTTACTCCTTCCAAAAGGCAAGTTTGTGTGTATGTCTGTCTGTGTTTAATGGAATAGATTACTGGAATCAATGTAAAATTGTGGGATTTCGTTTGTTTCACAGCCTATACGCTGAAGTGTTATGAGTGCGCAGCAGGAAGCTCAGCCACCTGCATCGACACAACAAAAGAATGCCCCCCAATGGCGACTCATTGTAGCGCACTCAGAATCATCATGCATTCAGGTACTGAATGTTAGGATCACCGAGCATGTGAGTTATGCCATGGTGGGCCAGCAAGACCTTCTCGGCTGACCCAAACACCATCAGAAGCCCTGATCTATATTTACAACCTAAATTCTAATATTTTCTCTCATGAAATGTAAATAATTTATTCCCAACTGACCATTCAGTTCGTAATGTCTCTCTTGGCTGCACTGCTTCCATTATGTGTGTGTTGATGTCTTGCTCACTTTGGTTGGGGGCGAAACGCCTGTGCACTTTTTTTTGTAGGCGAGTCAGTGATTGCAGACATCAATGGGAAAAGCTGCAGCTTCTCTGAACAATGTGCACAAGCCTCAGTCAATTTTGGAATGACCAGGACCGTACTCGCCAACGAGTGTTGCACTACCGACTTGTGCAACAGCCTTCCTGCACCAGGTAATACATTTATGTTACTGGAGCTTTTTTGCCTTTGTAAAATGTAACATAAGTCAGATGCCACATGCTGTTTTAGTGAAAAAAGGAAATGAAAATTGAGTGGAGAGCTATTTTTCACAATTTTGAAACAAATGTCGGGTCTGAGAACTCGGGGGAGAGTCCAAGGTGTCCTCAGTTTGGTGAGCAAATGTGATAAGATGGTGTTGTGGTTCTTTACATATCTAAGTTTTTTGGTTGTGAATGCTTTGAAACAGGGATGGCGCTACACCGAGGCTGCTAGGTTCGCTCTCGTTAATCCCCACCAGCATTTTATTTGAATATGTATACATATATATATATATATACATATATATATAAAATACATTTATAAATTGTTATCTCACCCCCCTATTTAGCACCAGCAGAGAAGAAAAATCCTGGAGCCGTCCCTGCTTTTAAATGTTGTACTTTTAATTGTGTGAAGCCCATTGAGTTACCTCTGGATGAAAGGTGCAATATAAATAAAGCTGTCACGCCATGACTCGTTAGAGAACAGCAAATTGTGTTGAAAGTACGGAAATGCTGAAGAGTTGGATACGTTCATTCAAAAGTTTAGGGTCAAGGTTCATTTCAAAATCCCACCTTTCTGTGATTAGCATCTGTCTCCTTCAAACGTCCATCCTGTGACTCCATCTGGAACGGAACTTTTCCCCACGTTGGGCTGAGTTGCTGGACAGTGTCATCCCCCTGAAAAAGCAGGGTGGACTGGAGCCTATTCCTTCACTGGCTCCTTCTACATTTTAGAATTCTTTTTATATTTGTTTTAAAGTCTTTAAGTGGCCTCGCACCACCTTACCTCTCTGAGCTTATCTGTCCCTGCACATCAGGGGCGTAGGCTCAGAGAGGATCCAGCCTTTTCCGTTGCTGGCCCCTCTCATCTTAAAACTCATTTTTATTCTTTGGCATTTGACTCAGCATGAGACTTGATTTTTAGTTTTACCGTTTTTGTTCTTTCTATTGTTTATTGTTGTATAAATTATTTTTGCTCCAGGTACATCACTTTGTATACAGCGGTGGGTGTTTTAACCCTTTGAGGGACAGCTGTTACGACAGTGGGCAGCTTATCATGTTATCAGTTTACAGGATGCATGAAAGGGTTAGAGTGCTCTACAAATACAATTGAGTTGGATTGAAGAGACATCTGGCAAAAGGACTGGTTGCCAGCCAATCACAGATCATATATATATATATACAAACAACCATTCACACTCACATTGACTCGGTCGCAGAGTGGGAATTCAATCCAAGTTACCTGCATTGAAGTCAGGTGAGTAAACCACTATCCCGTCAGTGCCGCACAGTACAACTCGCTGATTTTATCTTACAGACTACAGCAAGACCAGGCCCAGCGGTAGAAAATGCTTCACTTGCAATGGGCTACAGTGCACCAGTACCGTGGAATGTCAAGGCAATGAGTACCATTGCATCTCCACAACAGGTAACCGTCCTGCAAAGCTGCCCTTCTCTCTGCAAGCGGTTACACATGGATGCCCACAAGTATGACTTTGTTTCTCAGTGGAGATCAAGGGCCAAAAGACAACAATGAAGGGCTGTGCCTCCAAGCAAATGTGCACCAATACGGAACAACTGGAAGGGCTTGCTGGAACCCGAATCAGCTGCTGTGAGGGCGACTATTGCAACGGCGGCAGTAGACCAAGAGCCGGCCTCCTTCTCTTGGGAGCGCCACTGCTGTATCTCATTGTTTGGCCTTAACACGCAGGCCTATTCTGAGAACAGCCTGTCCTGTTTAAAACTGCTGAACGGTCTTTGCTTCCATGCTGCAGCTCAGTTTCAAGGTGTTTCAGATCCCCAGTCAGTTGTTTGCCATGAGGTCATTGAACTTCCAGTGGATAGTATGAGAAACTGTGAAAAACGAGAACACTGAATGTAACACACCTTCTCCCCATTCACACCTGGACTGGGATTTAGACATTTTCACATTGGGGTGTGCTCACTTTTGTTGGCAGCATTTTTTGGCCCGGGGTTGGGTGGTATCATTTCTTCAGCTCAGCTTTGTAACAATAAAATATTGACAAAAATGTGACTGCTTTACTCACTATCATGAGATACTTTTTGTGCAACAACAGCAGAACAGAGATAATAGAGAATTCAAGCGACAAAGTGTGAAAATATCTTTCCTGACTGACTTTTGCTCTTGACAACTGTATTACAAAGTATTAGTAAGACCACACTAATGAGAAAAGGTCAAAGGTAAAATATGGTAAAAATAAAAACCTTGTCCACAGGATGCCTTTGCTGGGGGCATTAGCAGTGTGACAAAAAAAAAAAAAAAAGCGAGGGGAAATAGTTTTCTATTCTGCAATGCATGCCAAGTCAATCATTGGCATTTATATGATGAGTTTTTTTGGACTAGTTTTGCTCGCAAATGATCAACAACAAATAATAGTTCATTTTGAAGATGACAAGTGCTTGATTTGGAGCAAAAGCAAAGTAGTTTGACATTCTCAGACGACAATGTATATTTGCTACATTTCCTTTGTGTCTGTGTCATGTGAAACTCAAGACGTGCCACTTACTTCAAGCTTACCACCTTGCAAAAGCATTGGCGATACAAATGTCAAAGAGATGAAGCGCCATGTAACAATCTTGTTTTTGAATCGCTCCATTTATCTCATTTTTAACAGATTTGCTGTCCAAACTAACCAAAAGTACTCAAACACTGATTACTTCTGCAAAAAAAAAAAAAAATCTGAAAATAATTGGCTGACATTGTTTTCGTGTTTGTGGTTTTTTTTTTACACTGTTACACATATCCATCCATTTTTCGATCCGCTTATCCTCACAAGGGTCGCGGGGGGTGCCGGAGCCTATCCCAGCTGTCTTCGGGCAGTTGGCGGGGGACACCCTGAACCGATGGCCAGCCAATCGCAGGGCACACACAGATAAACAACCATCTGAGATTAAGCTCACACCTTGGGACAATTTAGAGTGTTCAATCACAATCTGTAATGGGGGAGGAAACTGGAGTACCCGGAGAAGACCCACGCAGGCCGGGGAGAACATGCAAACTCCACACAGGGAGGCCAGAGGTGGAATTGAATCCACGACCTCTGCACTGTGAGGTCGACGCGCTAACTACTGGACCACCAGTGCTTTGGAATTGAGATGAATTGCAGCATTTTAAACCATTTGCAGCCCAAACAACTGCTTTGGGACTTATGAAATGAGCAGTGATGGTGAAATCCAAACTTTCAGATTCGTCAAATAGCACACATCACATCACATCAGTTCTTGTTCCTCTTTTTGTTTTATTTTGTAACGATTCATTCTTATTTTCTGTTTATTTGAACATATGGTTGTATCTCCTTCACTTTCTAAGTCATTGTTTTCCTGAACATATGCAGTTAAAGCAGAACAAAATTGAAATATTGCATTTTATTTCACTTGACCAATGACTGCAATGCGAATTGATGTTTGTGAGCTGTTGAATTCAGCAGTTCCTGTACACGTTGAGATATGCTGTGTTCTCGTAATCATCAGCATCGGAAATGTCCTGTGAGCGGGTTAAGAGAAGTTACTGAAGACAGTCATTAAAGGGGAAGTCAAATCTTTTCTATGTGGCCCCGGTGTGTGTGTGTGTGTGTGTGTGT